TTTTATTATTTATTCTTATTAAATTTTAAAAAATTTCATTTTATTTATTTATTTTATTTATTTATTCATGTATTTAATTATTTTAGTTTATGGTTAGATTATAATAAATAATAGAAATAATTTAAATGATTATAAAAAGTAAATTTCGATTATCTGTCGTTAGCAGATTTTGTTCGATTTTTTTTACAATTCTGTCAATATAATTTAATTACTTTACAATTTATATTGTGGTAAATCTTGTTGTTGTTGTTTTTTTTTTAATGACTTATAATATTTCATAAATCTGATCTTAACAGAGTTATCTGTCAAAGTCATAAGTTAGATTTGCCGCGTGTGTTCGAAACGAAATCAACACAGGTTACAGCATCCTGTTTACATATTTTGAAAAGAGAAAGAAATATAAATATTTTCGTACGGGTTTTGAAATTCGATTAGACAGAGTAAAGTGAGCTAACGACCGAGGTGGTTGAGACAAATGAGGAGAGAACGATAAAAGTTCACAATCACGAATTTAACGAAGAACTAAAATAATCAAAATGTCTCTAAACTTCGCCATTTTAGTTGGTATGTATATTTATAAGACGTCATATAATTTTTAAGAATAGATATTAATAAAATCTAAAATAAAATATTTTATAGCTATAATATATATAGTTACGATTTCCTTAAAATCAGGCATAAAATCAATATATTTAAAGATTAAAAATAATTTTACACACACACACACACACACACACACACATTTACGTACGCGTATCTTTGATTATTAGTAATATTAATTTTGTGTAATATTAATTTGAATTGTATACTTTTTAAAAGGCTATATTCTAATAATTTTATTCTGATTATACTTATGTAGTACGGGACTCTAATGATGATCAACCATCAAATGAACAAATTACAGAAGGAGTATATCAAACCTCTATAATATTAAATTGTATTACAAAGAATTTTGCAGGAAACGTGAATGTCATACAACTTGTGAAACGTGATAAAAAAAAAATAAAGGTAATTTCTACAAATAACTTTTTAAATACTTTCTCATACATAGGCATACATGTTTACATATATTTGTTTAATTTATGTTTTATACAGACAGATTTAACTTTTCTGAGCACTCAGTACAGTGGCAGTACCATCTTATTAGTTGGCAATACCTTGAATGATGTTGTACATGACGCAATTAAAGAAGTTATCAGTAACAATGTTCGTATTGACATAAACATGTTGATATCAAGCTTAACAGAGGGACTAGAATGTTTCATTAAGCGGTAAAATTTTGTTTTTATTTATACTGCAATTTTCGAGATTACAGCTTTTACAGTTCTAACATATTTTCAGGCCGATATGTGGAATACTAAATAAGAGTCTTATTATTAATATGTGTGGTCCTTATATAAATGCGCAGGAAAGTTTGGAAGCATTTGGAAACACGATACTGGATATATTATGCTTAATTAGCAAGTCAGATGAACAGATTTTTGATATAAAAAAGGAAGATAGTTGTATTGAACCATTTAATAATAACAATGATGATGATGATAATTCTGCTGAGGAATTTGAGAATAATAATGATTTTGATGATTCATTTTATTCTGCTGGACCATCTAAGACTAATGATAACATACATAATTTTAATAAGATGCCTTTGGAGCTTTCCTTCGAAGAACAATCGGTACGATAAAATATCTTTCTCACTCGAAACAAATTTCCATCAGAGTGCATACATGCGAATTGTAATCAACTCTCTTTACAGAAAACCTTATTGACAATGGATGACTTTTATAAGAAACAAAAGGAAAGCAAAATGGTATCACTGGAAGAGGCAACAAATATAATGGAAGAAATAGCAGACAAATATTATAAAAGATGTGTAGAAACCGTACAGACGAATGATGCCTATGGTAGAATACTAGCCGACGACATATACTCTTCTGTAAATATACCGTCTTGTTCTATTTCCACTAAACATGGATACGCAGTGTTGGCCAGTGATGGGCAAGGTGTCAGAAAAGTATTGAAAGCAAATCTCACGGTAAGAATAAACTCTTATTAACAAATAAAAGTAATAGGCTCGCATGATTTTGCGGTATTATTATGTTTCCCACATTATCTCTAATACTCGTTTCTATCAATGTAGATTAATTTAATTTTAATTTAACTTACTTTTTATCTTTTATTAGTTCTAAGAACTAAAAAAAGATAAATATTAAATTAAGAGATTAAAATTAATCTACATTGGTAAAAATAGATATAAGACGTGGAAGGGAATACTAAAAATCACGGTTGACGAATTGGTCACAAATTTTGCAGAAAACAATTTTGTTGATTAAATCAGAATAAGTTGATCTCAATTTAATTATCGAAGTCAAATCTTCACAAAACACTGCTTCTTTTCTAGTTAATTAAACAGATTTTTATCTTACCTGGCACTTGCATGCGAATAAGAAGTGGAGATCCTATACCCGATGGTAAAATCAATTATAATTGGATATTACATTTATACCTATGGTGAATTAATTGTTTTTATTCGTGATTAGGAGCAACGGCGGTTGTAAAGTCTGTGAATACAAAGGTATTAGATGAACACGATAATGATGATTATTTTAATATCGACAACTTGGAATATGAAATTGAGGTTTTAGTAGTTCCAAAAGAGGGTGAAAATATTAGGTATACGAAGATATTCCGATATCGTTTAATATGTTTTTTAAAAAACGTTTTATTCTATTATTACAAAATAATTTCTTTGCTTTTAAAGAAATGCTGGCTGCGAAATACAGTCCAATGAGATTGTTAAATACTCACACACTCGTGTCAAAACAGCGGATCTGGGCATTTTGACATTATGTGGCATCGATTCAATTACAGTCTTTAAACTTCCATCTGTAGGTCTGTTATTTCTCGGTTATGATATATTAAACCCTGGAAACCCTTCAATAGAACGCATCTACGACTGCAACAAGATAATTCTGTCCTCGTTATTGAAGAAGAACGGTTATAATTTTGTGGACTTTGGAATTTCGGCTTATGAGTAAGTGCAACAAAAATTTATTACAATTCCTCTAATCACGGTAAGGCTTGATTTGATAAATAAGTAATGTCATCGTCGCTCCTAATTTGATGATCATATTCTCGCAGGCCGAATGTTATGCAATATAGAATCAAGGACGCTTTAGACAAAGTTGATTTACTTGTGATAATAGGCTATGCGAACGACAAAGATATATTGAAGCGCACCTTAAACATATTTTTCAACGCTGATATACATTTCGGTATATTTTTCTTCTTGTAATCATCAGTGTAATACGTTGAGGACACATCTTTATGCATTTCTTTTTCTGACTCAGGTGGCGTGAACATAAAACCGGGGAAATCGACAACGTTTGCAACGTGTACGTTCAACGAGAAGAGGAAGTTCTTCCTGTGTATGTCGGCAAACCCAGCGACCGTACCCATTGTCACGCATGTATTGCTTCTGCCATTATTAAACATACTACGCTGCAATTCAAACGATAATCTCTTGAAGATACAGACTCGCGTAAGACTCACCTTCTGGCATCCTTCATGAAGATATACATATGCGTATTGGTATATTAATCATTATAACATTAATCATTATAACATTACAGATAAAAACATCTCACGATCTGCACCTACGTCCAAAACTTTCGTGGACATCCTTACAGTGGTCGGAGAAGGAAGTGGATATGCATCCAAGTGCTCACTGCATAAATACTGAACATCAGCACATGATGAAATATCAATTCAGTAACGCGCTTCTAATGCTACCGAAACACACGCCAGAGGTGCCAAAGTTAAACGCGAACTCAGCATTTTTAACGGCGATGTTTACGGGCAATTGAAAAATTTTCAAGTTGTTCTCAATTAATCAGCAAGACAAACGTTTGCACATATTTACATAGTTATTTAACTATATTATTGAATTATAATTATAATGATTTAATTATATTATGCTCAAATTATGTCTGAATTATAAGATCTAAGGGCCGATTATTTCATCTTTCGATGAAATTTTACGTGTAAATTATCAGATCCGCTCATGTAATTGAATAATTTTGCTACTTATCTAATACAATAATCGGCTCTAAAAGTAGTTCTGAAGTAATTGTATAAAAAGAACATTCATACGTGAGATTGGCAGAAATGCGCAATTGGCAGAAAAAAATGGAAGATTATTTTATTGACATCGTTTTACATACTGATAAATACAAAGAAAATTTTTTCTTAGCGAAAACATTGGAAGATCATAATATTTGTTTCAAAATTTCAAAAGTTTGCCATTCTGCAATTTAATTATAGCAATTTCGCGAATTAAGTTTTTTATTAAAGACCAACTCAAATTAATTTTTAATTTTTAATTTTTAATTTTTAACTTGAAGTTTTCTAATTGACGAGCGAATAAATTTCTTGTTTTTTTTTTGTTGATTTTACTTTATTATAATTTACAAAAAATCGTTATAAAATGATTTATAAATTAATTAAGAGAATTATTAATTAATTAATTTAATTCTTTGAAATTAATATTATGCAGTTATGTTAATATAAAAAATTATATTATTAATATTATTAATATATGTATTGTACAATAATACACTCTAAATTTGAATCAATGAATAGTCTATAATTGTTCAGTGTCATTCTTAATATTATTATCCACTGATTCAGATTTAGAGAGTATATTGTAATAATAATATTATATGTATTATGCAATCATCTTGACATTTTTTTCGTTAAGAAAAAGTGAGCTTCCGAAAAATTTTTATATATTCTTTGCCAATCATAAATGTATACGATTCTCTTTTAACATAACATTATTTTATATTATGCGATGTTATATAGAAATAGAAATATAGCATTTGATAAAATCTTCTTAATGACAACATATATTTTTACAATAATTATTTTTTATAATTATTAATGTAAAGTACAATAATAGTGACATATTTTAATATGCTATTGACATAAATATAATCAATATAAATTACAAATCTCAGAATTTTAGATCCTCAACACTATACATGTAATTTCAAAATGAAGTGCGGTTTTTACCTCCACTCGATCTCGCTAATCATCGAATAATGCGGGAATAATATTTAAAAAGTTATTTTAAAACATATAATATACAACTGTCAGGATATGTGAATATAAAATAAAATGTATTGAAATATCAATTTTACGTCATCTTTCATGTATACAAATAAGAAAATTTATATAATCGGCTCGAAAAGTTAAAAGGAACGGAATCTTTTTAACAGAAAATCTCAATTCTTTTAAAAATGATAATTCTTTCACACGCACGCACGCACACACACATATACACACACACACACACACACACACACACACACACACACATACACACACACACACACAAATGGAAAATAATTATTTTACGCTACACAAGAGCTACATCACGAAATCTCATGGTCAAAATTTTAATGTTGAGAAAACATGTGAAAATTAAAGTAACGGTGACATATAATCTTTTCGAAAGTTTTACCAATTAGATAATTATAACATTGTATTTAAGAAACTTTCACTTTTTTATATTTATATAATTTATTTATTACATTTACACATTTATTTTGCATGTATCCAGTTAGATAAGAAAATGGTTTAATCGTTTCATTTTACTATTAGATTATATATAAAATGATTTCGATGATTACGAACAGCAGAAGTGCCGTCAAATCTGCGTTTGTTTTTCGCTATTTATAATCTGTCATTTTGCAAACATTTGTTTAATTTCTGTTGCAATTCTATGATATATGTAACTTATTATGTCGATATATGTAATGGACTTATTGCTTTTCTTACTGAAACATACAACATTTTGCAAAATTTACTCTCAATAGAATTATTATCGTCAAAGTCGTGAAAACAAAGAGATCTGTCACGACATATTCAAAACAAAATCGACATAGGTCGCAATCTTTCAAAAATATTTTGAAAAGATAGAAATATAAACACTTTCGTATGGCTTTAGAAATTTGATCACTTTATCGGAGACAAAGTAAAGTCAGTTAGCGAACGAGGTGATCGACGTCAAACATAGGAAACGAGAATAATAAAAGATACGCAATCACGAGATTTAAAAAGAAATAATTGAAAGAAGAAATAAAAAGAATAATTGAAATGTTTGATTTCTGGGCTACGATTTTTGCTGGTATGTATATTTATATTGCAAGAAGTATAATATACATTATTAAAAGTAGAAATTATAATAAAAACAAAATATTTTATATAATA